AAAATGTATAAGCCACAACAAGCCAACAGATTAAGAAATTTTTGAAACAAAGCCATTCAAAAAAATATGCGTGCAAACATACAAGGAACTTATTAGGCCAAATAAAAAAATATGTGGGTTTCCGGTTTCCCGACCCTACCTAGCTTTTGGACGTCGAAATCCCGACCCTAAACTTTTTTGTTGGATCACGCTCGTAAGTGTTTCCACTTACAGCAAAACGTTTGTGGAAAATGAAAATTTGAGGCAATATTAGGGAAATTTATGTTTGGATGTGGAAGCACTGACTAAACAAAATGGCGTCCGGTTGTTAGGAAAATTTAAAAAAAAAGTTTTAAAAAAAAAGTTAAAACCGACCTACCCTACCTAAGTTTTTACAAGAGGAAACCGGAAACCCACATTTTTTTTTTTGCCTTAAAGTATATTGTACTTGATTGCAAACACATGTAATGGAGACATAATTTCATAAATGTCAGCATTCATGTACAGTAAATCACTAAAACCATTGCACCTGCATGTATATGTACTACAAAGGTACAGTACTATATTTTGGTGTCACAATTTTCGCAACCTCAATTATTCTAGGATTCCACTCCTGTTAGCCGTTACCCTGTGGAAATAAGAATGATACTAACCGGTAGAGCTGAAATTCCCGATTTCAACACCCTTGAACAGGAAATGGTGAAAGAATTCTGTAAGTCCCCACGAAAGGTGCAATGGAGAGGGGGGTAAGTAATAAGAATACTTAAAATTAATAATTATACTTAAAAGTAATAATTATATATAATAATTATTTAAAATATTAATATTTGCAATATATATATATACGAGTAGATTTGTGTATACCATACCTGTAGATTTTATTTTTGTGGAGGTAGCCAATCTTTAAATGGAGCTAGACTATGCCACATTCACATACCCAGAGCCCGCCTTATACACACGATCATCAACAGAGCATGACAAGGACGCGGTGTACGAGAATGGGTTTGCCTCAACAGTCAACTGCAGATCAAAATTTAGCCTCTGAACGAGAGCAAAATGCCAAGTGTGTCAATGTCCTGTTTATGCGCATATTCTGGATATTTCAGTCTTATTTAATACAGCGGAATATAGAAGTGCATTCTGAGAGTTCTTGCAGTTATTCCAGTTAGTCAGTAACTCCTGGCTTAGATAACAAGCTCCAAATGATTTTTGGAGTTAGCAACACAGCAAGTAACTTCAACCTTACATGTATGTACCTAGCGGCTGTATGCTGACTCGCCTCGCTTAACACATACTTTTTGGAGTTAGGCAGTAACTCGAGGCTTAAATACCTTGTTTTTTCATGATTTTTGGAGTTATACGTAGCTCTAAATGATTATTGGAGTAAGCCAATAACTCCAGCCTTAGATGCCTAGCTCCTAAATGATTTTTGCAGTTGTATACTTATATAGCTCCAAATCATTTTTGGAGTTAGCCAGTAACTCCAGAATTCATATTTCAACTCTTGAATTACACAAGTTACTCAAGTGTATATTTTGGTTTGGAGTTAGCCCTTTAGAGCTTGGAGGTAGCGTCGCTCCATAACTTCCTACTTTCTACAGGCATGGTGTATACGAAACGCAAAGAGTGCTCAATATCATAAAGATAGAGCAAATGAAGAATTTCGCTTACCTCAAAACGACAAACTGAAACAGACTGTTGCGGAATTTTGAGGTAAGCGAAATTATATAGATACAAAAACATCTCTCTTAACAAAGATTTACTGTATTTTCCACAAATTTCCAGCACGGAAAAGTCATCCTTCAACTACTTGCTCCTCGATCCGCGTGTCACCCTCGACTTACCACAGAGAACTAAGAAACTTCCGTCGACTGAAGCATTTCGCTGTTTCATTCTGTCGATCTTCTACGTTGGCAAAGGGAAACGCTCCAGACCCTACGCTCACCTCCATGAAGCTATTAAGTACGCAAAGAGTAAGGTACGTTTTACTGAGACTAAACTAATTCTAACTTCTTGTAAACCTGGGGCAGGTTGTATAAAACTCTTAATCACTTTTTTAATCACTATTTTGTAGTTAAATAGTGATTAACTCTCGAATAGGCGCTTCTTATTCGGATGACGTTTCCACTTAATTATAGTTCACTTTAATCACTTTTTTATACAACCGGCCCCAGTTGTTAGCCAAGAGGACCAATATGAGACTTCCTTATATGGCCACTGCAGTTATCATATTTAGCCCTTCTTGAGTCCCCAGTCAAGAAGCGCTGAAAGAAATAAGCCCATGAGGCCTTCAATTTATCCCCACCTCTTAATAAAATTAATCTTAATATCTGATCAATTATCAATCTTTACTGATATTAAAACACTATTGATTTACTTTGATATGATCGTTTTGTCAGAAGGACTGCCTTGGAGGACTCCCCCAAGATTATATGTTATTCTTACTTGTCAATTATTCAATATTTCTAGTCCAATCAGAAACTAGACCAGATATGGGACATCTGGAGAGATGGTATGGGTGTCATTTCGCTTCACTTGTTTCAAAGTGCCATTCCTGTAGAGGCTTTCACACGTGAAGCCTGTATGGTCGAGGCTCTAGGTGAGTGCTATGAAGAAAAAAATGCTTGCCATGACCATTAAACCTGCACGAATGTCAGAGTGGGCGAAGGGTACAGTTATTTCCCTTCCCCCAACACTTTTCAAAAGGTCTCCTGAAGATTGTCAATTTGAAAGAAACCTGGTTGGAACAAAATGTATTTAACCATGGAAGCCTGATTGACATTTTTAAGGGTATTGTAATGCATTAAAATTGAACCAAAAAGGTTCGACGTGGAAATTTGTAGCAACGATTAATGGGGATTGGAATATATTGGTAACATAAATCCACTCCCCATCCTCAATGATTTAACTTAGTGTTTACAACTGAGGTAAACCGCGTATTTTTGTTTCAGGGCTCTCCCAACTGACCAATCAAAAAAGAGGAGAATATTATGGGCTTTGCGCCAATCTTGACTTGAAAAAGAAACGAAAATTGGGTATTTTTCTTCTTCACAAAGCATTTCAAATTTTCTTGCAAGAAGGTGAAAGGCAAATATGCCAAGAAGATTTGTAAAGAGGTATGTTGACAGTGACAGTCAAGTCCCAAGCAGTGAGCTCTCTCCTTCTCTCTATGACAAACTTAAGCCGAAGGTTTCGTTTTACATTTGAATCAATGTTTGCTCAAGCTAGGCCAAAAAAAAATATGTGGGTTTCCGGTTTCTTCTTATAAAAACTTAGGTAGGGTAGGCACGATCCAATAAAAAAGTTCAGGGTCGGGATTTCGACGTCCAATAGCTAGGTAGGGTCGGGAAACCGGAAACCCACATATTTTTTTTTTTGCCCTATGCATATGACTACCAGTACATGTGTAACTGCAAATGCATGTACGGGTAGATGCGCACCCACCCCCTCCTCCCCCGCCTTATCTCAAGAATTACACTTTTCAATGCACATGTATTATTTAATAATTTTTAATAATATCACATCCAATAATTTTTATACTAATAACTTATTTACGGTTACAATGTTTCACTTTGCTATGACTATATGTACAATTGAATAAACTAATAACTATATCACAATGTATACATCAAACTGTGTTGTCGGCAGCACTCCCATTGATGTCTAAAGGAAAACGATTGCAAAATAATGAGTTTAAAGTTAAAAATAACACACGATCGATAGATTGTGCAATCTATTTAGAATCATAGATTGCATACAATTAATAGATAGCACAATGTCGGATCAATATAAATTTTGTTGATATATCGAAACCATGTCAATGTTATCGATGTATTGAAACCATGTCAATGTTTTCGATTCCTCGAAACATATCAATGTGATCGATCTATCGAAACCATGTCAATGTGCATTCTCTTTGATCTTGAGCCAATCACAAACTAGGATTAAGGCCCATTTCCACTTAGGAACATTTTTCGCAGAAAGAAAATTTTTTTAAATGTGATTGGCCGACGAAAATTTTCCGTCCGAAAAAAAATTTGGAGTTTTCTTGAGTGGAAATGGGCTTTTGAATCAATTGTGCACAAAACATTTACCTAAAATGAAATGGGTACTTCTTAATTAATTCATCGATCATCAGTATCCTCGCCCTGATGACTCGGCCCTTGTTTATTGCTATCCTTACGAACAAGGGAAACCTTTTCATTTTCCGTCTTCTTCAATGGCTTTTCTTGCTCTCGTGCATCTTTGAATGTTGACGCTTTTTGAGATAACTGCATTTGATTGCATTTGATTACAAAACAAAACAACATGGTCAAACTAAAACATATTAGCATATACTCGGGAGGTTCCATTCCAAAAGAAATTAGAGAGGGCGAATCCTTTTCTTCCTTTCGAAAGAAAATCGCTACTTACATTGATTGATAGCTAATGTAAAATATAGATGTACTTGTAAATAGATTATTACACTTATTGTCTAGTTAATTACGTTATATGTAATACTATATATCTTATATAATTTTGTAAATAGCTTCCAAATTTTTTTACACAGTTTGTATACTTGTGTACACGACCCTCGTGGAAATCAGCCTCGGTTGACGGGGTCAGCGTGTTTAAATAAAGTTTTTCTATCTATATATCTGGGTGGGTAGTCCTATCTATATATCAAGGTGGGTAATTATCAATTATTGGATGAGGTTGAGCAAAATATCGTGATTTGTCGGTGGCGAGCAGATCAATTATTTGCCGAATGCAGAGGCAAATAATTGATCTGCGAGCCACCGACAAATCACAATATTTTGCGAGAACCGAGTTCAATAATTGTTTTATCATTCACTTATAAAGCTTCATTTTATCTTTCGTTTAATATAAGTTCGCCGTCTTTCTTGCTTCTGCATAAAACTTGCGAAGGACGTTGGCAAGAGTTTCTTTTGAGCCAACTAGATCGTCTTCGTTAATTTTTCTTGCTTCTATAAATGCTGGCGAAAGACATTGACGGCGGTTTTAGTCGCTTTTTTTATTTTCCGCGTTTTTTCTTCAAGTAAGCAAAACAACTCATTTTCCGAAAGTTCAGCAAAGCGAGCCGTCATTGTTTACAAAAATTGAAGGCAATGCGCATGCTCAGACTATTATTTGTAGCTGAGCAACGTTTTTAACAAATGCGCATGCTCAGACTATTATTTGCACGCAGTTATTTGCAGGTAAATTAACCTATCAAAATTGAGAATACTATAAAGTTATCTATATATAGCTATATATATCAGCTCCGGATATCCTTACAATATTTATCTCCGCGCAAAAACAAAATTATTTCTTTTGGTCCAGTGACGAACGAGCAAATTTTTTTTGCTGAACGAAGCTAAAAGCATCCACAAAATTCCATTGTCATGCAACAGAAATATACAGTCGAGCTAGGCATGTAGTTTAATTTTTTGTTCATTATGCCTGGCAAAGATTAAAGGTCATATCCAATGGAGGTAAATGCATTTATCCTACACGCTGAGGGCAACAGCCAATACTATTTTTGAAAAAGGTTTGATATTTCACCTATTTTGTTACACGATATGTCAGTCAATCAAGCATATAGTCAATCTAGACATGGTTTAGAAACACGACAAATCAGCCACTATTTTAGTACGTGTGCCTTCGACAACAATCAGCTCTATATACTCAAAACCCAATGAACTTACATATTCTATTGTTTTGTGATTTTGATCCTAGGGCAGGTTATGTGGGGTTAACATGTTCTTCATTCCACCTACCAGAATATGAGCTCTTTCTTGGCCATCAAATCCTTCGTCATCAACGTTGTCCATGGCGAAGTGGTTAGGTCTCACCCGCCTATTTCGAGGATAGCACTTCTATAAAATTAAGAAAAGATACATTTTACATTCTAATGAAGATATACTTTCATTTCTCGGTTGAACTAAAAACAACACTATTTGGGGTAAGTTACAGTCAAACTACAAAAACCGCTTCTCGTTAGTGTATCTGTTACCATTCACAGTATCTTGTTCTATATTCCTGTAGCGGGTTCCAAAATTACGGGAAAACACGAACGTAGTTTTGTATAAACGATGAGTCTAACGAAAAATGCATTATTTGTTACAGTTATCCTCAATTATGATACAAAATATGATAAGTAATAACTAATAAGTCAGTGGCATAAGCGCGGGTTGAGAAGTAAATGTTCCAAGACCATGCATGAAATGTTGCTTTCTGATCATCACCACTTGGAAATGAAGGCACCGGAAACGATTGTGGAAAATGCAAATTGAGGGGGGAGGGGCACAGCAACAAACTCGATTGTTGTAGGCGTTTTCAATCAGTTTATGCTGGCCTCGTCAGTTTTCGTTTAGCACATACTTGCGCTCTTCATGTCCACTGTAAAAACAAATTGGTCGAAGCAACCCAAAAATTGGTTACCTCAGGGATATATATATATATATATATATATATATATATATATATATATATATATATATATATATATATATATATATATATCTATATATATATATAGTGTTTAAATATCTAAAAGTAGTACTTTGCTACTTACCCAGAAGATTAAGATTAAAAGCGGGAGAAGAATTGCCAAGGTGATACCAACAGCAAGCCATATTTTCTTATTGTTTGACGGGCTCGACGTCTGAGGAGCATTTTTACAACCAAATGCCACTTTAAGTATCTATATATCAAATAAACATTTAAAACTTAAAAAAATGAATAAGACCGCGAAGCGCGAGCATTTGGAATATGATTAAGTTTTCATTAATAGACACTTTCAACAGTGCCATCGCTAGAGGGTTTTTTTTTTGGGGGTGCAACTTAATAATTTGTGAGTCACAATTCTAGGGGGTATGACCCTTCAGGAAAAAATGAAATTTTAGTCCTTGAAATTTGCTTGTATTGTGGAGGGACTTGAAGAAAAATGTAAAGATCCTACTAAACCACCTTTTAACAGTGTCAAATATTGATTTCAGAATACTTGACAATTTAATTTCGTAGGAGACATAGTCACCTAGACTATTACAAGAAAGTTCAGTAGATTCTATGAGTAGATTCACGTAAGATAGCCAACACTGTTTGCTGACAATTTTCCATGCCCCTTTCATCGGAACTACACTCACAAAACATTGGTGGGGACGGACCGCTATTCTCCTGTACAGTACATACGTGTATTCGTTACTTTTTTATATAACCTGTTATTTACCCGAATTTCTCTGGTTTTCTAAAAGTTTGGGAGGGTAATCTCCCTCGCTACCTCCCGTCTTGTATGCCTGTGAATGTATTCGCCATACAAAACTTACAAAGCAACATTACCTTGGTCTCAAAATTACTTCCAAGTTTACTTGAATTTCTGGAATCGTTCAAATCATTCCCAATTTGTCTGGTCATGGCTTCTGATCCCAGCACCAGAAACCAAACATCAATACCCTCCTTGGTTTTATTTGGGTTTGCACATTTCCTCTCGCCATTCACAATGAATATGTCAGTAGCATTTAATTTATCATGCGATATTTCAGCGATCTTTTCTTTGAATTGTTCGTCAACTTTACAAAAGTTATACCATGTATACTCCATTGTCACAATCACATATACATTACATTCAGATTGTGGGGGTTGTTTAGTTGTTGCTGGCGATGGTGGTGTGCTTGTTCCTGGTGGTGTGCTTGTTCCTGGTGGTGTGCTTGTTCCTGGTGGTGCTGTAGTTGTTGCTGGTGATGGCGTTGTGCTTGTTCCTGGTGCTATGCTTGTTCCTGGTGCTATGCTTGTTCCTGGTGGTGCTGTAGTTGTTGCTGGTGATGGCGTTGTGCTTGTTCCTGGTGCTATGCTTGTTCCTGGTGCTATGCTTGTTCCTGGTGGTGCTGTGGTTGTTGTTGCTGATGGTTCTGTGCTTGTTCTTGGTGATACTGCGGGTGATGGTGCTGTGCTTGTTCCTGGTGGTGCTGTGGTTGTTGGTGCTGTGTTTGTTCCTAGTGGTACTGCAGGCGATGGTGCTGTGCTTGTTCCTAGTGGTACTGCGGGTGTTGATGCTGTGCTTGTTCCTAGTGGTATTGCGGGTGTTGGTGCTGTGCTTGTTCCTGGTGGTGCTGTGGTGGTTGTTGGTGTTGGTGATGGTGTTGTGCTTGTTCCTGGTGGTACTGTGCGTGATGGTGATGGTGCTGCGCTTGTTCCTGGTGGTGCTGCGGGTGATGGTGCTGTACTTGTTCCGGATCCTGGTGGTACTGCGGGTGATGGTGCTGTGCTTGTTCCTGGTGGTACTGCAGGTGATGATGCTGTGCTTGTTCCTGGTGGTACTGCGGGTGATGGTGATGTGCTTGTTCCTGGTGGTACTGCAGGTGATGGTGATGTGCTTGTTCCTAGTGGTACTGCAGGTGATGGTGATGTGCTTGTTCCTAGTGGTACTGCAGGTGTTGGTGCTGTGCTTGTTCCTGGTGGTACTGCGGGTGATGGTGCTGTGCTTGTTCCTAGTGGTACTGCAGGTGATGGTGATGTGTTTGTTCCTGGTGGTACTGCAGGTGATGGTGCTGTGCTTGTTCCTAGTGGTACTGCAGGTGATGGTGCTGTGCTTGTTCCTAGTGGTACTGCGGGTGATGGTGCTGTGCTTGTTCCTGGTGGTACTGCAGGTGATGATGCTGTGCTTGTTCCTGGTGGTACTGCGGGTGATGGTGATGTGCTTGTTCCTGGTGGTACTGCAGGTGATGGTGATGTGCTTGTTCCTAGTGGTACTGCAGGTGATGGTGATGTGCTTGTTCCTAGTGGTACTGCAGGTGTTGGTGCTGTGCTTGTTCCTGGTGGTACTGCGGGTGATGGTGCTGTGCTTGTTCCTAGTGGTACTGCAGGTGATGGTGATGTGTTTGTTCCTGGTGGTACTGCAGGTGATGGTGCTGTGCTTGTTCCTAGTGGTACTGCAGGTGATGGTGCTGTGCTTGTTCCTAGTGGTACTGCGGGTGATGGTGCTGTGCTTGTTCCTGGTGGTACTGCAGGTGATGATGCTGTGCTTGTTCCTGGTGGTACTGCGGGTGATGGTGATGTGCTTGTTCCTGGTGGTACTGCAGGTGATGGTGATGTGCTTGTTCCTAGTGGTACTGCAGGTGATGGTGATGTGCTTGTTCCTAGTGGTACTGCAGGTGTTG